TTTTGCAGACCCTAGGCCCTTGTTCTTGAATTTTTGCAGATGCTAGGCCCTTGTTCTTGAATTTTTGCAGATGCTAGGCCATTGTTCTTGGATTTTGCAGACGCTAGGCCCTTGTTCTTGAATTTTTGCAGACGCTAGGCCCTTCTTCTTGAATTTTTGCAGACGTTAGGCCCTTGTTCTTGAATTTTTGCAGACCCTAGGCCCTTGTTCTTGAATTTTTGCAGACGCTAGGCCCTTGTTCTTGAATTTTTGCAGACGCTAGGCCCTTGTTCTTGAATTTTTGCAGACACTAGGCCCTTGTTCTTGAATTTTTGCAGACGCTAGGCCCTTGTTCTCGCAATTTTGCAAACGCTAGGCCATTGTGCTTGAATGTTTGCAGACGCTAGGCCCTTGTTCTTGAATTTTGCAGACGCTAGGCCCTTGTTCTTGAATTTTGCAGACGCTAGGCCCTTGTTCTTGATTTTTTGCAGACGCGAGGCCCTTGTTCTTGAATTTTTGCAGACGCTAGGTCCTTGTTCTTGAATTTTTGCAGACGCTATGCCCTTGTTCTTGAATTTTTGCAGACGCTAGGCCCTTGTTCTTGAATTTTTGCAGACGCTAGGCCCTCGTTCTTGAATTTTTGCAGACGTTAGGCCCTTGTTCTTGCAATTTTGCAGACGCTAGGCCCTTGTTCTTGAATTTTTGCAGACGCTAGGCCCTCGTTCTTGAATTTTTGCAGACCCTAGGCCCTTGTTCTTGAATTTTTGCAGATGCTAGGCCCTTGTTCTTGAATTTTTGCAGATGCTAGGCCATTGTTCTTGGATTTTGCAGACGCTAGGCCCTTGTTCTTGAATTTTTGCAGACGCTAGGCCCTTCTTCTTGAATTTTTGCAGACGTTAGGCCCTTGTTCTTGCAATTTTTGCAGACGCTAGGCCCTTGTTCTTAAATTTTTGCAGACGCTAGGCCCTTGTTCTTGAATTTTTGCAGACGCTAGGCCCTTGTTCTTGAATTTTTGCAGACACTAGGCCCTTGTTCTTGAATTTTTGCAGACGCTAGGCCCTTGTTCTCGCAATTTTGCAAACGCTAGGCCATTGTGCTTGAATGTTTGCAGACGCTAGGCCCTTGTTCTTGAATTTTGCAGACGCTAGGCCCTTGTTCTTGAATTTTGCAGACGCTAGGCCCTTGTTCTTGATTTTTTGCAGACGCGAGGCCCTTGTTCTTGAATTTTTGCAGACGCTAGGTCCTTGTTCTTGAATTTTTGCAGACGCTAGGCCCTTGTTCTTGAATTTTTGCAGACGCTAGGCCCTTGTTCTTGAATTTTTGCAGATGCTAGGCCCTTGTTCTTGTAATTTTGCAGACGCTAGGCCCTTGTTCTTGCAATTTTGCAGACGCTAGGACCTTGTTCTTGAATTTTTGCAGACGCTAGGCCCTTGTTCTTGAATTTTTTCAGACGCTAGGCCCTTGTTTTTCAATTTTTGCAAACGCTAGGCCCTTGTTCTTGAATTTTTGCAGACGCTAGGCCCTTGTTCTTGAAAATTTTCAGACGCTAGGCCCTTGTTCTTTAATTTTTGCAGACTCTAGGCCCTTGTTCTTGCAATTTTGCAGACGCTAGGCCCTTGTTCTTGCAAAATTGCAGACGCTAGGCCCTTGTTCTTGAATTTGTGCACTCGCTAGGCCCTTATTCTTGAATTTTTGCAGATGCTAGGCCCTTGTTCTTGCAATTTTGCAGACGCTAGGCCCTTTTTCTTGCAATTTTGTAGACACTAGGCCCTTGTTCTTGCAATTTTGTAGATGCTAGGCCCATTCTCCCGCTTTCTATCACCCTGCCCATTCTCCCGCTTTCCATCACCCCGCCCCATTCTCCCGCATTCCATCACCCCGCCCCATTCTCCCGCTTTCCATCACCCCGCCCCATTCTCTCTCTTTCCATCACCCCGCCCCACTCTCCCGCTTTCCATCACCCCGCCCCATTCTCCCGCTTTCTATCACCCTGCCCATTCTCCCGCATTCCATCACCCCGCCCCATTCTCCCGCATTCCATCACCCCGCCCCATTCTCCCTCTTTCCATCACCCCGCCCCATTCTCCCTCTTTCCATCACCCCGCCCCATTCTCCCTCTTTCCATCACCCCGCCCCATTCTCCCACTTTCCATCACCCCGCCCCATTCTCCCGCTTTCCATCACCCCGACCCATTCTCCCGCTTTCCATCACCCCGCCCCATCCTCCCGCTTTCCATCACCCCACCCGAATCTCCCGCTTTCTATGACCCTGCCCCATTCTCCCGCTTTCCATCACCCCGTCCCATTCTCCCGCTTTCCATCACCCCGCCCCATTCTCCCGCTTTCCATCACCCCGCCCCATTCTCCTGCTTTCCATCACCCCGCCCCATTCTCCCTCTTTCCATCACCCCGCCCCATTCTCCCGCTTTCCATCACCCCGCCCCATTCTCCCGCTTTCCATGACCCCGCCCCATTCTCCCGCTTTCCATGACCCCGCCCCATTCTCCCTCTTTCCATCACCCCGCCCCATTCTCCCACTTTCCATCACCCCGCCCCATTCTCCCGCTTTCCATCACCCCGCCCCATTCTCCCGCTTTCCATCACCCTGCCCCATTCTTCCGCTTCCTATTACCCCGCCCCATTCTCCCTCTATCCATCACCCCGCCCCATTCTCCCTCTTTCCATCACCCCGCACCATTCTCCCGCTTTCCATCACCCCGCCCCATTCTCCCGCTTTCCATCACCCCGACCCATTCTCCCGCTTTCCATCACCCCTCCCCATTCTCCTGCTTTCCATCACCCCGCCCCATTCTCCCTCTTTCCATCACCCCGCCCCATTCTCCCGCTTTCCATCACCCCGCCTCATTCTCCCGCATTCCATCACCCCGCCCCATTCTCCCGCTTTCCATCACCCCGACCCATTCTCCCGCTTTCCATCACCCCGCCCCATTCTCCCACTTTCCATCACCCCTCCCCATTCTCCCTCTTTCCATCACCCCGCCCCATTCTCCCTCTTTCCATCACCCCGCCCCATTCTCCCTCTTTCCATCACCCCGCCCCATTCTCCCTCTTTCCATCACCCCGCCCCATTCTCCCGCTTTCCATCACCCCGCCCGAATCTCCCGCTTTCTATGACCCTGCCCCATTCTCCCGCTTTCCATCATCCCGCCCCATTCTCCCGCTCTCCATCACCCCGCCGCACTCTCCCGCTTTCCATCACCCCGCCCCATTCTCCCGCTTTCCATCACCCCGCCCCATTCTCCCACTTTCCCTCACCCCGCCCCATTCTCCCACTTTCCATCACCCTGCCCCATTCTCCCTCTTTCCATCACCCCGCCCCATTCTCCCGCTTTCCGTCACCCCGCCCTGTTCACCCGCTTTCCATCACCCCGCTCCATTCTCCCTCTTTCCATCACCTCGCCCCATTCTCCCTCTTTCCATCACCCCGCCCCATTCTCCCTCTTTCCATCACCCCGCCCCATTCTCCCTCTTTCCATCACCTCGCCCCATTCTCCCTCTTTCCATCACCCTGACCATTCTCCCTCTATCCATCACCCCGCCCCATTCTCCCGCATTCCATCACCCTGCCCCATTCTCCCGCTTTCCATCACCATTCTCCCGCTTTCCATCACCCCGCCCCATTCTCCCGCTTTCCATCACCCCGCCCCATTCTCCCGCTTTCCATCACCCCGCCCCATTCTCCCGCTTTCCATGACCCCGCCCCATTCTCCCGCTTTCCATGACCCCGCCCCATTCTCCCTCTTTCCATCACCCCGCCCCATTCTCCCGCTTTCTATCACCCCGCCCCATTCTCCCACTTTCCATCACCCCGCCCCATTCTCCCGCTTTCCATCACCCTGCCCCATTCTTCCGCTTCCTATCAACCCGCCCCATTCTCCCTCTATCCATCACCCCGCCCCATTCTCCCTCTATCCATCACCCCGCCCCATTCTCCCGCTTTCCATCACCCCGCCCCATTCTCCCGCTTTCCATCACCCGGCCCCATTCTCCCGCTTTCCATCACCCCGCCCGAATCTCCCGCTTTCTATGACCCTGCCCCATTCTCCCGCTTTCCATCACCCCGCCCCATTCTCCCGCTTTCCATCACCCCGCCCCATTCTCCCACTTTCCATCACCCCGCCCCATTCTCCCGCTTTCCATCACCCCGCCCCATTTTCCCGCTTTCCATCACCCCGCCCCATTCTCCCGCTTTCTATCACCCCGCCCCATTCTCCCTCTATCCATCACCCCGCCCCATTCTCCCTCTTTCCATCACCCCGCCCCATTCTCCCGCTTTCCATCACCCCGGCCCATTCTCCCGCTTTCCATCACCCCGCCCCATTCTCCCGCTTTCCATCACCCCGCCCCATTCTCCCGCTTTCCATCACCCCGCCCCATTCTCCCGCATTCCATCACCCCGCCCCATTCTCCCGCTTTACATCACCCGACCCATTCTCCCGCTTTCCATCACCCTGCCCCATATTCCCTCTTTCCATCACCCCACCCCATTCTCCCGCTTTCCATCACCTCGCCCCATTCTCCCTCTTTCCATCACCCCGCCCCATTCTCCCGCTTTCCATCACCCCGCCCCATTCTCCCTCTTTCCATCACCCCGCCCCGTTCTCCCGCTTTCCATCACCCCGCCCCATTCTCCCGCCTTCCATCACCCCGCCCCATTCTCCCGCTTTCAATCACCCCGCCCCATTCTCCCGCTTTCCATCACCCCGCCCCATTCTCCCTCTTTCCATCACCCCGCCCCATTCTCTCGCTTTCCATCACCCCGCCCCATTCTCCCGTTTTCCATCACCCCGCCCCATTCTCCCGCTTTCCCTCGCCCCATTCTCCCGCTTTCCATCATCCCGCCCCATTCTCCCGCATTCCATCACCCCGCCCCATTCTCCCGCTTTCCATCACCCCGACCCATTCTCCCGCTTTCCATCACCCCGCCCCATTCTCCCTCTTTCCATCACCCCGCCCCATTCTCCCACTTTCCATCACCCCGCCCGATTCTCCCGCTTTCTATGACCCTGCCCCATTCTCCCGCTTTCCATCACCCCTCCCCATTCTCCCTCTTTCCATCACCCCGCCCCATTCTCCCTCTTTCCATCACCCCGCCCCGTTCTCCCTCTTTCCATCACCCCGCCCCATTCTCCCTCTTTCCATCACCCCGCCCCATCCTCCCGCTTTCCATCACCCCGCCCCATTCTCCCTCCTTCCATCACCCCGCCCCATTCTCCCACTTTCCATCACCCCGCCCCATTCTCCCGCTTTCCACCACCCCGCCCCATTCTCCCGCTTTCCATCACCCCGCCCCCTTCTCCCGCTTTCCACCTCCCCGCCCCATTCTCCCGCTTTCCATCACCCGCCCCATTCTCCCGCTTTCCACCACCCCGCCCCATTCTCCCGCTTTCCATCACCCCGCCCCATTCTCCCGCTTTCCATCACCCCGCCTCATTCTCCCTCTTTCCATCACCCCGCCCCATTCTCCCGCTTTCCATCACCCCGCCCCATTCTCCCGCTCTCCATCACCCCACCCCATTCTCCCGCTTTCCATCACCCCGCCCCATTCTCCCACTTTCCATCACCCCGCCCCATTCTCCCGCTTTCCATCACCCCGCCCCATTCTCCCGCTTTCCATCACCCCGCCCCATTCTCCCACTTTCCATCACCCCGCCTCATTCTCCCTCTTTCCATCACCCCACCCCATTCTCCCGCTTTCCATCACCCGGCCCCATTCCCACCCTTTCCATCACCCCGCCCCATTCACTCGCCTTCCATCTCCCCGCCCCATTCTCCCGCTTTCCATCACCCCGCCCCATTCTCCCTCTTTCCATCACCCCGCCCCATTCTCTCGCTTTCCATCACCCCGCCCCATTCTCCCGTTTTCCATCACCCCGCCCCATTCTCCCGCTTTCTATCACCCTGACCATTCTCCCGCTTTCCATCACCCCGCCCCATTCTCCCGCATTCCATCACCCCGCCCCATTCTCCCGCTTTCCATCACCATTCTCCCGCTTTCCATCACCCCGCCCCATTCTCCCTCTTTCCATCACCCCGCCCCATTCTCCCGCTTTCCATCACCCCGCCCGAATCTCCCGCTTTCTATGACCCTGCCCCATTCTCCCGCTTTCCATCACCCCGCCCAATTCTCCCGCTTTCCATCACCCCACCCCATTCTCCCGCTTTCCATCACCCCGCCCCATTCTCCCTCTTTCCATCACCCCGCCCCATTCTCCCGCTTTCCATCACCCCGCCCCATTCTCCCGCTTTCCATGACCCCGCCCCATTCTCCCGCTTTCCATGACCCCGCCCCATTCTCCCTCTTTCCATCACCCCGCCCCCTTCTCCCGCTTTCCATCACCCCGCCCCATTTTCCCGCTTTCCATCACCCCGCCCCATTCTCCCGCTTTCCATCACTCCGCCCCATTCTCCCGCTTTCCATCACCCCGCTCCATTCTCCCGCTTTCCATCACCCCGCCCCATTCTCCCGCTTTCCATCACCCCGACCTACTCTCCCTCTTTCCATCACCCCGCCCCATTCTCCCTCTTTCCATCACCCCGCCCCCTTCTCCCGCTTTCCACCAAGAAAGCACGTGTTTCCCTCTTGAAGGCTAAAAGGCTTGAGGGCTTGAGGGCTTGAAGGCTTGAGGGATTGAAGGCTTGAAGGCTTGAAGGCTTGAAGGCTTGAAGGCTTGAAGGCTTGAGGGCTTGAGGGCTTGAGGGCTTGAAGGCTTGAAGGCTTGAAGGCTTGAAGGCTTGAAGGCTTGAAGGCTTGAGGGCTTGAGGGCTTGAAGGCTTGAAGGCTTGAAGGCTTGAAGGCTTGAGGGCTTGAGGGCTTGAAGGCTTGAGGGCTTGAGGGCTTGAGGGCTTGAGGGCTTGAGGGCTTGAGGGATTGAGGGCTTGAAGGCTCTAAGGCTTGAAGGCTTGAGGGCTTGAAGGCTTGAAGGCTTGAGGGCTTGAAGGCTTGAAGGCTTGAGGGCTTGAGGGCTTGAAGGCTTGAGGGCTTGAAGGCTTGAAGGCTTGAAGGCTTGAGGGCTTGAAGGCTTGAAGGCTTGAAGGCTTGAGGGCTTGAGGGCTTGAAGGCTTGAAGGCTTGAAGGCTTGAAGGCTTGAAGGCTTGAAGGCTTGAGGGCTTGAGGGCTTGAGGGCTTGAAGGCTTGAAGGCTTGAGGGCTTGAAGGCTTGAAGGCTTGAAGGCTTGAAGGCTTGAAGGCTTGAAGGCTTGAGGGCTTGAAGGCTTGAGGGCTTGAAGGCTTGAAGGCTTGAGGGCTTGAAGGCTTGAAGGCTTGAAGGCTTGAGGGCTTGAGGGCTTGAAGGCTTGAAGGCTTGAAGGCTTGAAGGCTTGAAGGCTTGAGGGCTTGAGGGCTTGAAGGCTTGAAGGCTTGAAGGCTTGAAGGCTTGAAGGCTTGAGGGCTTGAGGGCTTGAGGGCTTGAGGGCTTGAGGGCTTGAGGGCTTGAGGGCTTGAAGGCTTGAAGGCTTGAGGGCTTGAGGGCTTGAGGGCTTGAGGGCTTGAGGGCTTGAGGGCTTGAGGGCTTGAAGGCTTGAAGGCTTGAGGGCTTGAGGGCTTGAGGGCTTGAGGGCTTGAGGGCTTGAGGGCTTGAGGGCTTGAAGGCTTGAAGGCTTGAAGGCTTGAAGGCTTGAGGGCTTGAAGGCTTGAAGGCTTGAGGGCTTGAGGGCTTGAGGGCTTGAAGGCTTGAAGGCTTGAAGGCTTGAAGGCTTGAGGGCTTGAAGGCTTGAAGGCTTGAAGGCTTGAGGGCTTGAAGGCTTGAAGGCTTGAAGGCTTGAAGGCTTGAGGGCTTGAAGGCTTGAGGGCTTGAGGGCTTGAAGGCTTGAGGGCAGGGCTTGAAGACTTGAAAGGCTTGAGGGCAGGGCTTTTAGGCTTGAAGACTTGAAAGGCTTGAAGGCTTGAAGGCTTGAAGGCTTGAAGGCTTGAAGGCTTGAAGGCTTGAGGGCTTGAAGGCTTGAAGGCTTGAGGGCTTGAGGGCTTGAGGGCTTGAGGGCTTGAGGGCTTGAGGGCTTGAGGGCTTGAAGGCTTGAAGGCTTGAGGGCTTGAGGGCTTGAAGGCTTGAAGGCTTGAGGGCTTGAGGGCTTGAGGGCTTGAGGGCTTGAAGGCTTGAAGGCTTGAAGGCTTGAAGGCTTGAAGGCTTGAAGGCTAAAAGGCTTGAGGGCTTGAGGGCTTGAAGGCTTGAGGGATTGAAGGCTTGAAGGCTTGAAGGCTTGAAGGCTTGAAGGCTTGAAGGCTTGAGGGCTTGAGGGCTTGAGGGCTTGAAGGCTTGAAGGCTTGAAGGCTTGAAGGCTTGAAGGCTTGAAGGCTTGAGGGCTTGAGGGCTTGAAGGCTTGAAGGCTTGAGGGCTTGAAGGCTTGAAGGCTTGAAGGCTTGAAGGCTTGAAGGCTTGAAGGCTTGAGGGCTTGAAGGCTTGAGGGCTTGAAGGCTTGAAGGCTTGAGGGCTTGAGGGCTTGAAGGCTTGAAGGCTTGAAGGCTTGAAGGCTTGAAGGCTTGAAGGCTTGAAGGCTTGAAGGCTTGAAGGCTTGAATGCTTGAATGCTTGAAGGCTTGAAGGCTTGAAGGCTTGAGGGCTTGAAGGCTTGAGGGCTTGAAGGCTTGAAGGCTTGAGGGCTTGAAGGCTTGAAGGCTTGAAGGCTTGAGGGCTTGAGGGCTTGAAGGCTTGAAGGCTTGAAGGCTTGAAGGCTTGAAGGCTTGAGGGCTTGAGGGCTTGAAGGCTTGAAGGCTTGAAGGCTTGAAGGCTTGAAGGCTTGAGGGCTTGAGGGCTTGAGGGCTTGAGGGCTTGAGGGCTTGAGGGCTTGAGGGCTTGAAGGCTTGAAGGCTTGAGGGCTTGAGGGCTTGAGGGCTTGAGGGCTTGAGGGCTTGAGGGCTTGAGGGCTTGAAGGCTTGAGGGCTTGAGGGCTTGAAGGCTTGAGGGCTTGAGGGCTTGAGGGCTTGAGGGCTTGAAGGCTTGAAGGCTTGAGGGCTTGAAGGCTTGAAGGCTTGAAGGCTTGAAGGCTTGAAGGCTTGAAGGCTTGAGGGCTTGAGGGCTTGAGGGCTTGAGGGCTTGAGGGCTTGAAGGCTTGAAGGCTTGAAGGCTTGAAGGCTTGAAGGCTTGAAGGCTTGAGGGCTTGAAGGCTTGAAGGCTTGAGGGCTTGAAGGCTTGAAGGCTTGAAGGCTTGAAGGCTTGAAGGCTTGAAGGCTTGAAGGCTTGAGGGCTTGAAGGCTTGAAGGCTTGAGGGCTTGAGGGCTTGAGGGCTTGAAGGCTTGAAGGCTTGAAGGCTTGAAGGCTTGAGGGCTTGAGGGCTTGAAGGCTTGAAGGCTTGAAGGGTTGAAGGCTTGAAGGCTTGAGGGCTTGAGGGCTTGAAGGCTTGAGGGCTTGAAGGCTTGAAGGCTTGAGGGCTTGAAGGCTTGAAGGCTTGAGGGCTTGAAGGCTTGAAGGCTTGAAGGCTTGAGGGCTTGAGGGCTTGAGGGCTTGAGGGCTTGAGGGCTTGAAGGCTTGAGGGCTTGAAGGCTTGAAGGTTTGGAGGCTTGAAGGCTTGAAGGCTTGAAGGCTTGAAGGATTGAAGGCTTGAAGGCTTGAAGGCTTGAGGGCTTGAGGGCTTGAGGGCTTGAAGGCTTGAAGGCTTGAAGGCTTGAAGGCTTGAAGGCTTGAAGGCTTGAGGGCTTGAGGGCTTGAAGGCTTGAAGGCTTGAAGGCTTGAAGGCTTGAAGGCTTGAGGGCTTGAGGGCTTGAGGGCTTGAGGGCTTGAGGGCTTGAGGGCTTGAGGGCTTGAAGGCTTGAAGGCTTGAGGGCTTGAGGGCTTGAGGGCTTGAGGGCTTGAGGGCTTGAGGGCTTGAGGGCTTGAAGGCTTGAGGGCTTGAGGGCTTGAAGGCTTGAGGGCTTGAGGGCTTGAGGGCTTGAGGGCTTGAAGGCTTGAAGGCTTGAGGGCTTGAAGGCTTGAAGGCTTGAAGGCTTGAAGGCTTGAAGGCTTGAGGGCTTGAAGGCTTGAAGGCTTGAAGGCTTGAGGGCTTGAAGGCTTGAAGGCTTGAAGGCTTGAGGGCTTGAGGGCTTGAAGGCTTGAAGGCTTGAAGGCTTGAAGGCTTGAGGGCTTGAAGGCTTGAAGGCTTGAAGGCTTGAAGGCTTGAAGGCTTGAGGGCTTGAGGGCTTGAAGGCTTGAAGGCTTGAAGGCTTGAAGGCTTGAAGGCTTGAGGGCTTGAGGGCTTGAGGGCTTGAGGGCTTGAGGGCTTGAGGGCTTGAGGGCTTGAAGGCTTGAAGGCTTGAGGGCTTGAGGGCTTGAGGGCTTGAGGGCTTGAGGGCTTGAGGGCTTGAGGGCTTGAAGGCTTGAGGGCTTGAGGGCTTGAAGGCTTGAGGGCTTGAGGGCTTGAGGGCTTGAGGGCTTGAAGGCTTGAAGGCTTGAGGGCTTGAAGGCTTGAAGGCTTGAAGGCTTGAAGGCTTGAAGGCTTGAAGGCTTGAGGGCTTGAGGGCTTGAGGGCTTGAGGGCTTGAGGGCTTGAAGGCTTGAAGGCTTGAAGGCTTGAAGGCTTGAAGGCTTGAAGGCTTGAGGGCTTGAAGGCTTGAAGGCTTGAGGGCTTGAAGGCTTGAAGGCTTGAAGGCTTGAAGGCTTGAAGGCTTGAAGGCTTGAGGGCTTGAAGGCTTGAAGGCTTGAGGGCTTGAGGGCTTGAGGGCTTGAAGGCTTGAAGGCTTGAAGGCTTGAAGGCTTGAGGGCTTGAGGGCTTGAAGGCTTGAAGGCTTGAAGGGTTGAAGGCTTGAAGGCTTGAGGGCTTGAGGGCTTGAAGGCTTGAGGGCTTGAAGGCTTGAAGGCTTGAGGGCTTGAAGGCTTGAAGGCTTGAGGGCTTGAAGGCTTGAAGGCTTGAAGGCTTGAGGGCTTGAGGGCTTGAGGGCTTGAGGGCTTGAAGGCTTGAAGGTTTGGAGGCTTGAAGGCTTGAAGGCTTGAAGGCTTGAAGGATTGAAGGCTTGAAGGCTTGAAGGCTTGAGGGCTTGAGGGCTTGAGGGCTTGAAGGCTTGAAGGCTTGAAGGCTTGAAGGCTTGAAGGCTTGAAGGCTTGAGGGCTTGAGGGCTTGAAGGCTTGAAGGCTTGAAGGCTTGAAGGCTTGAAGGCTTGAGGGCTTGAGGGCTTGAGGGCTTGAGGGCTTGAGGGCTTGAGGGCTTGAGGGCTTGAAGGCTTGAAGGCTTGAGGGCTTGAGGGCTTGAGGGCTTGAGGGCTTGAGGGCTTGAGGGCTTGAGGGCTTGAAGGCTTGAGGGCTTGAGGGCTTGAAGGCTTGAGGGCTTGAGGGCTTGAGGGCTTGAGGGCTTGAAGGCTTGAAGGCTTGAGGGCTTGAAGGCTTGAAGGCTTGAAGGCTTGAAGGCTTGAAGGCTTGAGGGCTTGAAGGCTTGAAGGCTTGAAGGCTTGAGGGCTTGAAGGCTTGAAGGCTTGAAGGCTTGAGGGCTTGAGGGCTTGAAGGCTTGAAGGCTTGAAGGCTTGAAGGCTTGAGGGCTTGAAGGCTTGAAGGCTTGAAGGCTTGAAGGCTTGAGGGCTTGAGGGCTTGAAGGCTTGAAGGCTTGAAGGCTTGAAGGCTTGAAGGCTTGAAGGCTTGAGGGCTTGAGGGCTTGAGGGCTTGAGGGCTTGAGGGCTTGAGGGCTTGAGGGC